ACCTCTGGTAGTGAGTACATGATCCAAGAAAACTTTTCACTTGATGTTTGTCGGTTGGTTCTGGCCATTCCTTAATGGAATCGATTTTTCCTTTATCCACGGCTACTCCTTCTTTACTGACTATATGACCCAGATAATTGCTTTTACCTTGAAATAGCTGGCACTTCTTTGGGTTTAAAATAAATTGGGTAGCTTTAAGTCCTGTGGTGAAGGCTGTTTTCTCTTTACCTACTGGGTTCATTTCTGCCTGCCAGTATCCAGATTTCAAATCCAAAGTAGAATTCAATTTAATTCCAGCCAATGTGTCGAATGTGTCGTCGATCCAAGGCAGAGGATAACTATCTTTCTTGGTAACGTTGTTCAGCAAACTGTAATCCACACAGAACCTCATCGTTTCGTCTTTCTTTTTAACCAGGACCACCGGAGAGACCCGTGGTGTCGTAAAAGTTTCTATCACCCTGTCTTTCTTCATTTTCTGAACGATCGTTTCAGCCTCCTCTTAAATAAATAAATAAATAACTTTATTCTCTAATGATGCGATGTCACCAGAAACTTTGGCACAGCACCAGAAACTTTAGAAAACGACGAGATGACAGCAGCATGTTTGTCTTCAAATATATAAGTTTCCGGGTACAAACCCTCTTCCTCCAAAGCGTTCTATAGTCGTTTGACTAAATCAGCCTTTTTTTGTAGTTATTTTCACAATTTATTTCAAATATATTCCACTCTGACACCACTGAACTATTTTTAGAAATCTAATTTATTGACTTTATTTATTATAAAATTGTTCTAACACTTAGTTTATTAGAGTCTTTATTTATTTAATTTATATACACTCAGCTGCAAAAAAATCGATCCATTCCTTATTTCTTATTTATCTGAAGTTGTATAATTTTAGAGACATTATTTTACATATGTAAATTTAGGTGTACCCTCGTATACGAGAAATAAAATAATATTTTTAATATTGCTTTTTATATTTCTTAAAACAAATTGGTATTTCAGGTTTTTGTCAAAAAGGGTCTGAAGCAAGTAGAATTTTATTAAATATTGTTTTTAATTCAACAACCATACTAGTGTAGTGATTTTATTTTCAAAACGTGTTATATTTTTATTTAATTATCCTTCCTAAATGTCTCTAATTCCGACAGATGCTGCAAGGGCGGTGACTTTAGTTCAAGATAGTCGTAGCCAATATTATGCAGCTGAAATGTTGGTTATTAGTCGATCTTCGGTTCAAAGAGCAGTTCGGCGTTTTAGCGACACCGGTAACTTCACAAGAAGACCAGGCTCAGGTCATAGAAGGGTAACATCCGAAAGAGATGATCGATTTCTGGTCTCATCATGCTTGAGAAATCGGCGTCTAACTTTCGTTGAACTGGCAAATCGTCTGAGCGAAGTGAGAAATATGGACGTAAGCAGATGGACAATTCGTCGAAGACTTCTAGAAGGTAATTTATTATCCAGTCCTATCTCCAATACTATCCATAGTACATCGCAGAGCTCGCCTTGCTTTTGCAAGAGAACATGAAAACTGGAGTGATGCAGATTGGAGCAATGTATTATTCTCAGATGAGTCCAGATTTTGTCTAAGGTCACCAGATGGCCGAGAAAGGGTTTGGGGAAGACACGGAGATCAATATTTTCTATGTAATATTGCGGAAAGAATAAGTTATCGAGGGGCTCCGTTATGGTTTGGGCTGGTATCGGTTCAGAAGCCCATACTGATTTAGTTATTGTAGATAAAGGTTCTATGACTGCTGCAAGATACATAACAAGTATTGTAGATCAGCATGTGGTACCTTTTGCTCCTTTCATTGGAGCTAATTTTATTTTTATGACCGACAACGCGCGTCCTCACAGTGCTAGCATCGTCAACCAATATATAGAGGAGGTGGGAATTGTCCGTATATACTGGCCAGCTTGCCAGTTAACATCTATGGGATATGATGGGAAGACGTCTTCGAGCACGAGTACCCCGTCCAAACATCTTGGCTGAACTTACAGCGGCTCTTCAAGAAATATGGGACCAATTGGATCAATTTGATATCCAGAGGTTAATTATCTCAATGCCTAGACGTGTACAGGCTGTTATAGGGGCCTGAGGAGAAAACACTAGATATTGATTTATTATCAATGTTTTCCTTAATTTTAGTAAGTTTTAAATATTCTTGTATTTTTGACTTTTGGCGTATGTCTCTATAAATAAATGATTTTTTTGGATAATCTGTAAAAATTATTTTAATCTAACATATACTTTTACATATATACCTGATTTAAAACTAATATCTTCAAACGTTTTCTTTTTTCAGCAAATAATACCCATGGATCGATTTTTTTGCACTTGAGTGTATAATCTTACACTAATTTATTTTCCACTGACACTATTCTAATTTGTATAATTTATTTTATACACTTATTTCCCCGCGTTACAATTCAAACTCGACTCGATACAATTATTATTTTTAGACTAACTGTTTACAATAAAAAGTTTTCTATTTATATATATATATATATATATATATATATATATATATATATATATATATATATATATATATATATATATATAATAATCGTTACCTGGAGTTCCCTAAAATCGGCCGGTGATCTTTCTTGAACCTTCTCGAATGCCATGGAAATCCAGACAGGTTTTAGCGTGGGGACCCGTGGATATTACCTACTAAAAATACTTTTTAGAAAAATATGTTTACATCTTAGGGTATGAGTCATATTTATCGTAACAATATGCTTCATTATTTGGTGTTTTCCAACGCTGTTAACAGGTTGTTTACGGCTATGTTCACATTTTTGTATTTGCCGCTATCGCTGGTTCAACGGCAAACTGGCTCTCCTGGTCGAAGCGATTACTTATATAGCCGATCTTGGCGCGCTTCTCTCGAACGGTCCTTGACAAAGATTTTTGTGACGGGTACTGTCCATGTATAGGTAGAAGGGGTCCTACTAGTCGATCTTGTGGTCAGATGTAACATGGACTTTTTCTTTAATATAGTTTTCTATGTTATTGGAAGCCTTTGAACATTATCTCTTTATTAGATTCTCTTATTTCGCATTTTCTTTTAGTTTAGTTCAAGTTTATTGTATGTCCTGTGTTTGAGACATGTTAAGCAAGGGACGACGTTCTTATTCTCCTTTCGATGGCATTTCAATGTTCTTTTCATCTAACATTGATTCTTCGGTTGGTTTGTCCGATGTATGGATTAAAAAAGGATAGAATGGATCAGACAGAAAACCAAGGTCACTAATCCCGCTGTGGGCGGGACATTTAGCGAGAAGAACTGACAATAAATGGTCAATTAGAATTGGCCAAGAGACTAAAAAGACGTCCAAATTTAAGGGGGGACTATGGAATAAGGAAACAAGCTGGTACAACATGTCACAGAATCGCGAATATTAGACAATCGGGAGGCTGCACATCGTGATCGGTGAAATACGCTAAGAATAATCATGATATATATGTATATATCATTTTTAAAACTACCTTTGGTAGAATTTTTGTAATCATTGTTATAAGGATCTCTATGTAAAGATCTCTTTTTGAGTATATAATGAGAATACTCTGTTGTTCACTATTAAGAACTATACTATAACTTTAACTTAAGAATACCTGTCAGAAATATTATATCATGTGATTTATCTTTAAAAAGAAAACCACATCCAATCAGGACAGTAAAATTCTCTAGTTAGCAATTTCATTGTAAATCATAAAAAAACACAGGAAAGTACTCCTGGTACAATCCCAATATGGTAAGTATTTTGCTATAAATTTAGTTTATTCTCAGTAACATCAAATTCTAACTTAATATGCTTGTGACTTTAACACAAACGATGTATCATCGATATGTTATTGATTAACTAATGATCGTTTTTCCTTTTTAGTGATTTCTACTTTCAAAATTGGTAATCAGATTCTATAACATTCCACCGGGAATTTGCAACGCAGTTGTTTTCATTTAACATAAGAACCTATTATTTAATTTTTCCCTTTTAACCATGTCTTTCTTTCAGTACTATACATAAATTCACTTAATTCTATGTTAATTTTCCTCAATATAAGTGTTTACTTGTCTGTAATATGTCAAATTATCTATTTTTATGATTTAAGTTTGATGTTCATTTTTAATGATCTTGATTTTTCACCTAAATAAAAATTTTCACATTCGAAAAGTATGATATACATACAATCCTTTGTTCTGTCTTGTTCACTATTAGGTTTGGTTTAAGATTTAAAATGCAGATAAAATGAAATTGTCAGAGGAGTTTTCTTGTATTAATAAGTTATGATACAAAATCATTTCGACAAATTCTGAATAATTTTAAAATAATCGTATTTCAGCTGACATTGCGGTTAATTTCTGTTAAAAATAGTAAATGTTATTTGTTTTGAAATAATTTAAGTGCTCCCTTTATTTGTCTCAAATTGTATAATATTGCGACGCTGATTTAATTTTAAAGGATTATATGTGTTTTTAAATATTTATTTTTTATCTCTGTGATCTGGTCTTATGCTATTAAAATTTATTTGACATATTCTTTCTATCTTAGTTTTTCTTCCATGATTGATTATCTGATTATAGAAATTTCTAAGATTCCTCTATATCTTCCCGAAAGTTCATTTACGTTATTATGTAAGATAAAAAGATCATATTTCTTTTGGAATGCGTGGTATTTATCTCTAGCTAATCCTTTTCGTTTCCCTACAGTTCAGTCTGATATTGCTCTTAAATTTAAAGTTTTATTAGTCATCTATTCCTGTTTTTATTGATATTTCCGGGTCTAATATAGTTTTCCTGGTATATCGATCGGCACCTCTCTTACGAGTCGTTACATAATATTTAAAAATATGGATTTTGTATCATATTGTTAAAACTATTTGAACAAAAGAAAATTGAAAGTGTTCCTTATTGTCCTTTTTTATCTTTAATTTGAATTTATTTTTAAAAATAATTAACTATGGTTCTGTTCAATATTATTTTTAGTGATATATTTTATATAAGAAATCATCTACCAGTACCTAGAGTATCTGCTGAAGATTTCAAACTAACAATCGACGTTGAAGGTGCAGGTTCAAAGACTTTTAATTTAGACGAAATTAAGCAATTACCACATAGAACCGTTACAATCACAGCTCAATGTGGAGGATTGCGAAGGCAAGAAATGACGGACAAGGTAAGAAGCACTTTCCTATGGTTATGACAGTAAATATATTTAGTGTAAATCACGTCATTGTATAAATAGGTATGTAGAGATAAGTATACAAAGAAAGAAATTATATTATAAGGAGTAATTGTATATGGAGCGTAGGGAATCTTGACAAAGCTGATCCTTTGAACAGTTTGCAAAAATTCGTGGATATATTATACGGATCTCTATATTCAATTTTCGTAGATTGGTTAACAGATATTTCTTAAAATTTTTCTTTCACAAGCTCTAATGTTCCGTCCTTCCACACATAGTTTATTTTTGTATTAAGTATTTGTTTGTATTTTCATTTTATATTTAACCCTTTAATTGACATGTGTATATGTCATATACGTAAACTAATACGGTACTGTAGACACTGCCCCTAGCATACTTAAGGGACGAAAAACTATTTTTTGGCGTACTTACACTCAGTATTGTTATAACGGCTGCGCGAGAAATACCCCAGTTTAAGTAAAAATTGTACAATAATTGTTACACTATCTTCTGTAACCACACATATCTCTCATCCATAATATACTATTGGTCTCATTTTATAGATCTTATTCTTCGATTTTCAGTGTACGGTTTTGGAGTGAAATGTATTACAGCGAGAAGTAACTTCATTGTCTTTCATTATTATTTTTTGATTTTTTACTTTTTGTCTTTTATTTGTATTTAATTTGACTCTTAAATGTGGGAAGCCTTTTACTGCTTGAGTATCGTCCCCTACAGGTATAGATGTTAATATTATACGACTAGTCGGCAAACTGTGCTGATATTTTCGACAAAAGATTATCTTTTCTGACATTAATAGTCATAAATATATCATAACAGTCTTATAAAATATTTGAGAGAAAAAAAACGTGACACTCGGGAAGTGCCAACAAAAGTGAATAGTTCTTATAGCGTGTTATTACTATAGTAGGTTAATAAAATTTTCTGTCTGAATATTACTGAATTGTTAATATTTTTATAATGACATTTCAATTAAACAATTAAATTTCTCTAACATTTAAAAAATCTTAATTTTTCTTTAAAATTTTGTTTAATGATTTTAGTTATTTTCAAAGTTGGTTAAATATAATACCTATATAATTTATTTATCATATATATTTTTAGTATTATCTGGTATTTATGCTTAATTATTTTTATTATATTTATTATATTTTATTATATAATTAATTTTAATTAAAAACTTTCCATTTGTAAACACTTACCAATAAATGACCATAAAATTTCTGAAATAAACTTTTGTTTATTTTAATCAGTTTTATTTAATTTTATTTGTTTTATTTTATTTATTTAATTTTATTATAATTTTATTTAATTTTATTTAATTTTGTTAAATTTGATTTAATTTTATTTAATTTGATTTAATTTTATTTAATTTTATTTAATTTTATTTAATTTTATTTTAATTTTATTTAATTTTATTTATTTTTATTTAATTTTTATTTAATTTTATTTAATTTTATTTAATTTTATTTAATTTTATTTAATTTTATTTAATTTTATTTAATTTTATTTAATTTTATTTAATTTTATTTATTTTTATTTAATTTTATTTAATTTTATTTAATTTTATTTAATTTTATTTAATTTTATTTAATTTTATTTAATTTTATTTAATTTTATTTAATTTTATTTAATTTTATTTAATTTTATTTAATTTTATTCATTTTATTTAATTTGAATTAATTTTATTTAATTGTATTTAATTTAGTTTAATTTTATTTACTTTTAAGGAATTTTGTATGCCACGCAGATAGCTTAGAACCAACCTACTTATGTTTTGTAGACTTAGAAAAGGCATTCATCATCATCAACTAGCCTTTAACGTCCACTGCTGAACATAGGCCTCTCGCATGCTTTTTCACTTAGTCCGATTTTACGCCATGTGAATCCAATGTGTAGTCACTCTTTTTATGTCATCTGTCCATCTCGTTGGGGGTCGACATCTATTTCTGTAAGCTTGTATTCGGGGTCTCCATTCCAAAATTTTTTTTGTCCACCGGTCATTAACTGTTCACCTGCTACATGACCTGCCCAGTTCCACTTTAGTGTTGTTATACTTTCAATAATGTCTACTACTCCTAATTTTTTGCGTATACTAGCATTGGGTATCCTATCACGTAGAGAAATCCCTAACATTATTCTCTCTATTGCTCTTTCCGCAACTTGTAGTTTACTTACTGTTGTTCTTGTGAGTGTTAGGGTTTCTGCGCCGTAGGTCATCACTGGCAAAATACACTGATTAAATACTTTCCTTTTTAGACTCATTGGAATCTTAGACCTAAAAATATACTTCATCTTTCCAAATGCAGCCCAAGCGAGGTTTATTCTTCTTTTCAGCTCGATTGTTTGGTTGTCTCGACTTATTCTAATCTCATGGCCCAAGTATTTATAGGAGTGAACCGGCTCAATATCTTTGTCTTCTACTGAGATGTTTTTGTTGTGGACTAAATTTGTCATAAATTGTGTTTTTGAAAAATTTATTTTAAGACCAACTCTTTTTGTGGCAGTATGGAGTTCTTGGAGCATTATCTGTGCCTGATCAAAGCTGTCTGCAATAAGAACGATATCATCCGCAAGTTTAAGGTTATTTAAAAATTTTCCATCTACATTGATACCCTTTTCGTTCCAATTTATTGTTTTAGAAGCGTATTCTAGCAAAGTTGTAAATAATTTAGGAGACATGTTGTCTCCTTGCCGAACGTCTCTTTCAATACGAAAAGTCCCAGTATCTTCATTAAGTCTTACACAGGCTGTAGCATGTTGATAGATGTATCTGATGAGGGATATGTATCGGTGATCTATTCTACACTGTGTTAGAGCTTGGAGCATTTCGCTTTGATTGACCGAGCAAATGCTTTTTCAAAGTAGACAAAGACAAGTATCAGGAGTCTATTATATTCAATGGTTTTTTTCAATTAACGACTTAATGGTTTGCAAATTATTATTTGTTCCGTATCCAGCTCTAAATCCTGCTTGCTCGCAAGGTTGATAGAAGTCTAGTATTGATGTCAACCAATTAGTTATTATCTTCATAAACAACTTATAAACGTGAGATAACAAGCTATTAGGTCTATCTATAGTTCTTTAGCTCTGTTATAACTCCCTTTTTGTGTATGACTATTATAACAGCTTTATTCCACTGAGATGGTGTAACCTCTTTTGAAAGGCATAAGTTATATAATTGTGTCAATGCTTTCAATACTGTCTTTCCTCCTGCTTTAACTGCCTCAATAACGATTTGGTCATCACCAGCTGCTCTATTGTTTTTCATTAGATTTATTAACTTTGAGACTTCTTCGATTGTTATTTCTGGGATATCCTCTGAACCCACATTCTGGACTTTTCTCAACTTGGTGCCGTCTTTCTTACCCTTTTCTCTATATATTTATGTGTAAAATTGTTTATTACGTTTATTATCTTATCTTTTCTACGTTAATTATCTTATCTTTATCTGTTACCACTTTTCCATTTCGATCTGCGAGCTTAACAATATTCTTCTTACCTAGAGCTTGACATCTCTTCAGCAACTTTAAATTTTTATTTTCCTCGATAACCGTTGTAATCTTTTTTGTGTTATATTGTCGTACGTCCTTTCTCACTGCTTTATTAATATCTTTATTAAGTTGTGGTAGTACACGTGCATTCGTATCGTTTTTTTTTTCTTAAGTTCTCTTCGTGTCTCCATAAGTCTTTTTGTCTCTTGACTGATTTTTTTCTCCTTATCTCTCCTAGGATTTGTATTGCACTTTTTCTCTGCGTTCTTAATAGCTTTTATTAAGTTATTATTTAAGGTTTCGACATCCATAACGTCTATATTTGTTGTCTCTAGACATCTCAGAATTTCCTCTTCGAAGGACATGGGATTTTTGATTGGATTCCGTCCTATTGGGTGTGTTTTTGTTATCATTTTGTATCTTTGTTTTTGGAGATTTAACACGATCTTCGCTCTTACCATTATATGATCACTTCCCACTGAACAGCTATTAAGAACTGTTACATCATGGACCATGTCTTTGTTGTTGGTTAAGACAAAATCAACTTCATTTTTGGTGACTCCATCTGGACTTGCCCAGGTATATTTTCTTTGAAGACTTTTTTTGAAAAAGCTATTCATTGCAAAGAGGCCATTTCGTACCAAGAAACCCAAAAACAGTTCGCCTCTTTCATTTCTTTGTCCGAATCCGTAGGGACCTATTGCAACTTCGGTCGCGTCCAGTTTACATCCCAACTTAGCATAGAAGTCACCCATTACTAGGTTGTGTGTAGTAGGCGCTAGTTTTACTGCATTTTCTAGGTCTTCATAAAAGGTTTTCACTTTCTCGTCCGAGTGTGTAGATATAGGTGCATAGGCTTAAATTATTTTAAGGCTGGTTTTTTTGTTAAGCTTCAATATGCAGAGTATTATTCTTCGGTTCATACCTTTAAGTTGTTGGATATTTTTAGTGTGTCTCTTGTGTATAAGAAGTCCAACTCCTCCTATTTTTTCTTTGTTTCCCATATAGAAAAGTTGATGCCCTGATTTAAGAGTTATACAGCCTTCTTCTTCACATCTTACTTTATAGATACCCATAACGTCCCATTTTATGTGTTTTAACTCTTCTTCTAATTCCAGTAATTTTTCTTCAGATGACAATGTTCTTACATTGTACCCGGGGATTCTTCGCACCCTCTGTTTGCTGTTTTTCTTGATCGCTGCCCTGACCAAGGATCAGCTCACTGCCGGGGACTAAGGGCCGTATTTTTGTCGTTGTAAAACAGGTAAAACAAAAAAAGGGTACCAAATCAAAAACAAAAAAATTAAGATAAGTAATACGTTACGCCGACGTCGCAGTTTTTATAGCAGAGATATACTAATGAAGATGATTTAGAAATAATGCTGTACCAGTTTAATACCAAGCCAAGAAATTTAAAATGAAAATTTCGTGAAATAAAACAAAAAGCTTAGTGGCATTAAAGGAGCCAGTAAGATACAAACTTGATATTGAAAAGCAATTGATAGAATTAGTAATGAAATTTAAATTTCCGAAGATTGTTGGAAATAAAATATTACAAAACGATGACATCGAGGAAAACTGGGAAGAACTTAAAATAACATTATTAATGCAGCAACAAAATCACTTGGAAAAAGGAAAGTAACAAACATTGACATATCAAAAGAGAAAACCCCATGGTTTAAAGAGGAAGAGAAGACAAAATTTTAAGAAAAGAAGAAAGCCTTTTTACAATACAGAACACAACAAACACAACAGAGATACAATCACTATAAACGATTCATAAATGAAACAACGAATACTTTAGTTAAACAAACTTCCAAGGAACACAAAAATAAATATGGAGAATGATTATAGTACAAAAAAAAGATAAACGTACTAATAAAAACGAAACACATTCAGAAAGAAACATGGACAGACAACTTTCGAACCCTATTTGCTAAAAGCAACGATAATGAACCACCATCACCAGAGGTGATGAGCAAACAAAGAAATAAATATTAAGGAGGGGAAGGTACAGAAAACATTAAAATAATTAAAAAACAGAAAATCACCAGGAGATGACAGAAAACCGAACGAACTTCTATAAAGTACGAAGGACCAAATCTGATCAAAATCAAACAGCTACTAAAACTAATCCAAAAAATAATAAAACAAAACAGAATTCCTCAAGAAAATTAAAAATTAAAAAAAAAGAAAAAATTATAACACTAGCAGAAGAACAACAAGCTTTTAGATCGGAAAGGCAGTGCAGAGAAATCATTAGAATGTAACATTGTTTCTTGTTTAAGAAAAAGTCATAAATGTGAAAACAAATTCTTTTTCCCCAATGTGCCTGATAAAGCTGTAATCAAGCTGTAGTCAAGTGGTATATATATATATATATATATATATATATATATATATATATATATATATATATATATATATATATATATTAAAACCAGTTCTGATAAGCGGTACGAAGCGTCATTAGTCAACTGTTACATTTGAATTAAATCTCAAAAACTATAATGTTCGGTAGAGATGTATAGGTACAGTGTAAAATTGACAACAGTTCTGTAATGAATTATTTTATAAATTTTTTACTCTAAATAAATGGTTAGAGAATAAAAAGGTCTCTTATAAATGTACTTTTCTTATGGTCGAATATTGGTGCATAAGTGGTCGAAAACTGGAAAAAGTGGTCGATTATTGGTGAATATGTCAAATAATTTTTAATAATTAAAAACATAGGTTACGTGAAAGATACGCTATAATATTAAATGGATTTTTAATATATGGATAATTATAATAATAAAATATGGATAATTTGGTCGGAAATTCACCCTATCAAAACAAAAACAAAACTTTACAATGAGTATCTTATTTTAACACAAAACTAATCTGTTAATAAGAGTTAATAATATCTGTAAAAAAGAACAATGGATAAAATAAGAGTTACACAACGCGCTATGGAAAGATCAATATTAGGTATTATCATCAGAGATAAAGTACCAAACCTAGAAATAAGAAGAAGAACAGGAGCCACAGATGCAGTTGAAAAAATACCCATGGCTAAATGGGCTTGGACCGGACATGTTGCCAGATTAACGGATGATAGATAGAAAAGAAAGATTCTGGAATGGCGACCAAGGCAAGATGCATATCGAAGCAGAGGACGACCTCCGACAAGATGGACGGATGATATCAAGCGCATTACCACAAACTGGATGCAAGAAGCTCAAGATTGAAATAGATGGAAAATTTTACGGGAGGCCTACGTTCAGCAGTAGACAAATATAGGCTAATTTATGATGATGATGTGGAAATAAGATAAGATACTGAAGTTATTACTGTTACTGCTATCTTCAAGTTTAAGTAATATACCCTCCTACAGCTCAGACTTAACAAAAAATTTAAGCGATGACTGAAGTAAATCTTCATCAACAATGTCCAGTGCCCAAAGATGGGAACGTTATTCTGATATCGGACGTTGAACAACAACTAAGTCGTTGTTCAAAGTACATTAAAGAACTTTCCCATGAAACTCGTTCAGAAAAAAACGTAATTTTAGGAAGATAATTAATCCGCGCCGATTTTACATGAAGAAGTTCAAGATGCAAACAAATATAAACGAAGGCATAGCAAACAATCCTGATGAGTTTTCAATTGTACTTTTAACACTATTATTTATACAACGCCCTCAAAACTTTGGTGGAATTTATTTATATTTATTTAACAGAAATAATTCCAAAATTCCAACGTTTCCTAAAAAACCAAACGCTAAAGAGTATTCTATTATCAAAATATTGCTCTAATGAGTGATACTCAAAAAGCGTTTCTTAAAAAATTGTACCATGAATCGATATTTATTATAGAAGATTTGCCAAAATTGAGTATAAAATAAGTGACAATTAGGGTTTAGAAGAGGTATGGCTTCCAGAGAGGCACTGTTTGAGAATAAAGATATGAATCAAGATCTATATGTGTCCTTTAAAGAGTTTGAGAAACCATTCGACAAGGTTTAACATAAAAAACTTTTATATTATTATTAAGAGATTATTATTATTAAAACTCTCGACAGTCAGGATATTAGGATTACAACAAAACAGCAAGGTTTAAAAGAGGTGTTTGCTATGACTCTATACTGTCATCACATTTATTAAGTTATATAGGGAATATATTTTACAAGATTCGCTGTGTCATATAAAAAAGATATTGTCTAAAGTTGAGAGCCTTAACTGTAGTTAAGAGGACGTTTCGCCAGGCGCCCCATTCAGAGTAGCTGAGTTTGCGAAGTAGGTTCTCAAGCCTAATTTCGACTTTGTCGCAGGTTTTTTACTACACGGATAAACATCGATCATAGCACTCTACCCTACGCTAGGCCATTCTTCTGGGTCCGCCAGCGATTTAGTATCTCCTGTTTTTAAGCAATAATTTTACAATGCTTGTGAATTTTTCCTCTTCTGTTAATGCTCTGGCTTTTTAAAATAAGTAATCTGTGGCTGACGGTGTCATACGGCGCTTTTAGGTCTAAGAACGTCACACCTGTAATTAGTTTGTCTTGGTAGCCGTATTCTATGTGTTCAGTGAGATCTAGTACTTGGTTAGTGCAGGTCTTTCCTCATCTGAACCCAGCCTGTCCGGGAATCGGGAAAAGCTCGAGGATTGATGGAAGCCTCGAGGAAGCCCTCTCTAGTAGAATTATTTCGTAAAGTTTGTACAGGTGACATAGTACAGAGATTAGCTTGTAATTACTAGAAACATTTTGCCTTATTTCAATAGGCAACAGTGAAATTGTATCTGGTGTGCACAGAAAAATTAAATCGGTTGAATTGATTTAAGTTTTTTGACATAATATTATGCAATATTTTATTCGTACTTTTGGTTGAAGAATAGATTAATTATTTCAAATTTACTAAAATTGTTAATTTCTAAAAATTTAAATCATGGTTCTATCGTAGCTTGTCAAAATTCAATCCGAGTCTGTGTTTCCGTTTAAAATATGGCGATCGCGTGCTGATACACTTCAAAGGCGGCATCTTAAAGTGGGCACTCTGATTGTTATTTATTCTGTGACTCTACTAAGGCATTCAGGTATCGTCTATATTATAAGTGGTACTAAAACCAGTAGATATCGTTTGTTTGTAGAAATCATCAAAACAAATTATGTTTATAGCGATAGAAAAATGTATGAATTACAATATGATATTATATTGTAGTTTTGTAGTATGATTATTGAATAAATTCATTATTTTTTACCACATTATTGTTTGGTTTTAGCTGAGAAAAGACACTCAAGGTGTAAAGTGGGAAATAAACGGTGTAGGCAACGCAACGTGGACTGGTGTAGCGCTAATAGATGCATTAAAAGCAGCTGGTTACAACGAGTCGACACATACGGATCTAGAGCATCTTCAGGTACTTCGATTTTGTTTAAAGATTCTTTTATTTAAAGTTAATATATGACGAGGTAGTGGTAAAACCGATTAGAGTAAAACTGTTCATTTTGTACAAATCAAATTTTAAAGCTTTAAGTCGTTTATTTTGGCTTAGAAAAACAAAATAAAATATTTTTAATTATCAGTTTAGTAATAAAAGATTTTTTAAGAGCTAAATGTAGAAATTTGCGCGTTAAATATCGATTAGTAGATCCTTCACAAATTTGACATCACTATCTTCATTCGTACCAGCATAGGACACTAATCCTTAACAAAGGAAATGCGCTTCATGGTTTGTCAGGAATTGAGTTAGTTTAATAAATCTCTAATAAATGTCTAAACCGCAATAGACAGAGCTTATTTAATTAATGAGGTTTTAATTTTCTGATGTGCCTGGCTTTTCAAGGAAACTACCACGTATGTAAGATAGTTGCCAAAATGGTGGTCTGGTGGCTTTTTTTTTATTTTTAGAATCCTGATATCCTAGTTGCCATAAGACATTTTAATGAGACAAATATTCGGTCGATGTCTGAAACTTAGCTTTATCTGTACAGTTATAATAATGAACCATAACCATAAAGGATTATGGTTTAATGGGACTATTCTACAATACATCTCTTTAGTTATCAGATATTTTTGTACAATATTTAGCATTAATGATTCATATCATCACATTCTAGTGACGAATAGGAAATATCACGTTTACCATCTCGAATCGGTTAAGCTTATGTACTACATAATGAAGAAAGCGAATTTCCGTAAAATTTTTGTTTGGCAGCCTGTCATCGGAAAATGATCTTTTCGTTCCGACGATCTAACCTTTTTGGTGAGTTTATATCCTTGCCCTTTATTATATTCTGTACGGTGATTTTTACTGTAAAAATGAAACCATACTGGGATTCGTTCCACAGAAAGTTTAAATATGTCGTCAATATCTAAATTCCTACCAAAAATGGACTCTGATCGTTCATTCCTGTGACCCTTCATATTTTAATATCATACAAATTAAAAAGTGTAAACAAATAGAAAAAAGAAGAAATAAGCTATGTATAACGTTATAGTTGGAATACATAGCAAGCATGAAGTAACAAATGATAATGGCCCCATAGGGTAATTAGTTTTATATATATATATATATATATATATATATATATATATATATATATATATATATATATATATATATATATAGCGAGTGTTTGCAACTTTAATTTTGTCGCTTCTCGCATCCCAATCGCCATAATTTCTTATCGGCCCAGTCTCCTTCTTGAAGACCTCTATTTTCCATTTCTATATGAATATTGGATATCCATTTCTTTCTTGGCCTTCCCCTTTTATTTCTCTGTGTAGGTCTCCAGTTCCAAACGTTTCGTGGTATCCTTTCTTCGTTCATCCGTCTCAGGTGTCTATACCATTTTAATTGTTTTTCGGCTATCGTATCCATTATTGTGTTCTTTACTTTCATTCTCTCTCTTATGTTTTCATTTCTTATGTGGTCAAACAAAGTTAACCCGGAACATCTCCTCCAGTACATCATTTCCGTTGAGAGGAGTTTTTGTGACATATTCTTGTTAAAGGCCCACACTTCTGACCCATACGTCAGCACCGGCTGAATCATAGCCTGATATATATTTTTCTTTGTTTTCTTAGTTAAAGTTTTATTCCACAGGATCGGATGTAGTGTTTTTATCATGTTTTTTCCTTTTCCTATTTTTCTTGTTATATCTTTGTCGTCTTTCCAGTCTTCGCTTAGTGTAACTCCGAGATATTCGTACTGATCAACGTTTTTAATTAATCCGCTTTCTGTTTCCATGTCTTGACCGATGCCTCCTATATTCATGTATTGTGTCTTTTCGGTATTAACCTCTAATCCCCATTTTTTTGAATTCGTCTATTAGTTTGTTTATCATGTACGTCATATCTTGTAGGTCCTCGGCAAGAACTACCTGGTCGTCTGCGAAGAGGATTGTGTATATAGGAGTGTCATTTACCCATATGCCCATTGGGCTGCATTTTCTCATCCAATATTTTAAAGCATTACCAAGATATATTTTAAATAGGGTTGGGGAGAGGCAAGAGCCCTATTTGACACCCTTTGTTTGGGTGAAACCCTTGGAAATTTGGTTTCCAACCTTAATATAAGCTTGGTTATCTTGATATAGCTTTTTCACGGCATTTATATATACCTACTGCATTTATACCTGCGTTTTCCAATGTTGTCCATAGTCTCTGCAGTGGTACGGAGTCAAACGCTTTACGGAGATCTATAAAAGTGGCATGAAGTTCTAGTCCTCTTGCTAATCTCTTTTCCGTTAGATGTTTGAGAGTAAATACATTGTCGACACAAGATCTCCCTGGTCGGAATCCACTTTGTTCTTCGATCTCTGTGGCTTCTTTTTCTATTCTGGCTTTCAGAACTCTTTCATACAGTTTGCCAGTGGATGACGTAATGCTGATACCTCGGTAATTACTGCAGTCATTCCTGTTTCTCTTTTTGTAGATGGAGTTTATGTACGAGACTTTCCAATCTCTTGGGATACTTTCTTCTTGTAGGCACTTGTTAAACATTTTACACAGCAATTCTAATGTTATTGCAGTGGCATGTTTGAATAACTCGATAGGTAAATCACCCGGCCCAGGAGCTATTATTATTTTTCATTTTTTCTAATGCGTTTTTTATTTCTTCTACGGTAATCATCGCCACTTCATTTAACCCCGTTTCAACTCTATCTATCTGTGTGTCTAGAAACTGTGTACGTTGTTCATTTAATAGATTTTCATAATAATTTTTCCATCTTTCTATGTCTATGGGGTTTATTTTTTTTTGTTTCGTTTGTATTTTTTCTAAGACTGTTGATAGTTTTCTTGAATTCATTAGTGTGGTCTAATAAAATAAAGATGCATACCAAACTTCGCGTATACAGAGCAATTGTAGAACCAATTACCACATATGGTGCCGAATGTTGGACGATGACAAAGAATGAACGAGATAAAGTAGACGTTGTGGAAATGGATTATCTTAGAAGGTCATGTCGAGTATCGAGAATGAAAAGAATCAGGAATGAGGAAATACGAAACCGCACAGGAATTAGAGATACTCTTTCAGATAGAATACAAGGAAGGCAATTACAATGGTATGGTCACGTGATGAGAATGGAGGAGGAGCGGTGGCCAAAGAAAGCCTTAATGTATGTTCCGCCAGAAAGAAGGAAAAGGGGAAGACCACCAAATTCCTGGAGAAGAGAAATTACAAAAACAATGCAATCTAGAGGCTTAGAAGAGGGAGATTGGAGAGATAGGAAAAGATGGAGGCTGAAATGCGGGAAGCGGCAATCGCCGTAGGACCCCCGTTATATGATGATGATGATAGTTTTCTAAGCTTGTCTGGACCTACATCCTCCTACCATTGAGCTTATTTCTGCACATTTGTTGTCCCAGGTTAGGTTTTTTGTTTTTTTAATTTCCTTTTTTACTATATATTTGTATCTGTTATAGTTCTTTCGGTCTTCCTCATCTTTTGTCGCTAACCATTTGAGATACAGTTTTTTTCTTTTCTTCTACCAGTTCTAATAAACCTTCTGTACACCAATAATTTCTACGTTTTACTTTTTCTTTCGTACCTAGAGCTTCTAATGCTGCTTCATGAATTTTGATTTTCAAAGTCTCATACATTTCTTCCGCTGTTCCGTTTATTTCTTCGTCTAATTTTTGTGCCAAACGTAGTTTATAAAGAAAACTTGTGGACTCATTTTTTAAGCTGTCTATGTTATAGAGCCGTGTGGATTCTTTGTTTGTCTGTTCTTGGGATTTATTTTGTTTAATATATCTTAATATAAGGTTGAATGTTCGAATAATTAAACTTTGAGGGTATACAAGGCAACTATCGAACCCGGTGATTAATTTAATCTTGCCCAAGTACTTTCGATCAATAGATCATTCTGTCTCCGGCTTCTATACAATATGTAGCTTCTCCATATAAATTTTAAAGTGTTTGTTTGTCTTAGTGTATTGTATTTTGTATTGTTATGTCCAAATTTTACATTTATGACATTCTACTATGTCGGATAGGCCACAATTGACGAAATGCCCCTGAAGATGATCTATTGATCGAAAGTACTTGGGCAAGATTAAATTAATCACCGTGTTCGATAGTTGCCTTGTATACCCTCAAAGTTTAATATATCTTATTTCCACGGGTGCCTTTACTAGTAGGTGATCCGAACCACATTCTGCCCCTCTCCAAACTTTTACATCGTAGGGTCTTAAAGATGTCTCTTGTTTAACTACTACATAGTCTATAATTGACTGCAGTTTTCTTGTCTTTTGAGTCCATGTATATTTATTTATGTCTCTATGTTTGTAAAATCCATTCAGTATTTTTAACGAATGTTGTTCGCATACCTCCAACCATCTTGTTCCGTTCTCATTTACTACATCTTCTCCGTGTTGTCCAATTATTTTGTTGTCAAGAGCTTTACCTACTCTTCCGTTCAGGTCTCCTAGCAGGACTATTTCTTGCCATTTTTTTATTTTATTTAACTCGTCTGAGAGTTTGTCAAAGAACATGTCTTTAGTGTTTGTATCTGAGTCGTCCGTGGGTGCATAGATGCCAATTATTTTTATGTCTCTTAGTTTTTTATTTTTTCGATGGAATTAGTTTTACGATGGAAAAAAAATATAGTTGCGAGGAGCACCCAGTTAGAACTAAAAGAAATTTATAAGGTTACCTGGATGTCTTCTGATGGAAGGACTGTTAACAAGATTGATCACGTATTGTTAAAGAGAAACCACAAGAAATTGATAAGAAATATAAGAAGTATGAGAGGAGCCGAAATGGATTTGGACCATTTTCTAATTAGAGCTATATGTGGAACGGTGCAAAAAGATAAAGATGAGAATAGCAAATTCTAAGAGGAAAAATCAATAAGGCATAGAAAAGCTAAGCGAGGTGGAAATAAAAAGAAACTAGATCAGTTAAATAAAAAAAGAGCTATTTTCCTAGAAAGAAGAAGAGAAGCTAGGAAAAGAGCAAGTGTGGCAAGCTACAAGAGAGATAACTATAGCAAATACTAAAATTATTTCACAAAAGAGCCAAATGAAAGCAGGAAAGAATGGATTTGATAAAGAATGCCTTAAAATAGCAGAGGAAAAAAAATAATGACGGTACTAACCAGAAATATAGATATCAAAGAAGAATAATGAGAAGGGTTTGTAGACGAAAGAAATATAATATAACGAAAAAAAAAAATACAGAAAATAGAAGAAAGATTTCAGAAAAAGAAATATGGTCGTTTTATCAAGAAGTTAAAAAAAACTGAAAGTAATGGGTATAATGGCTGGGGCGTTTTAGTGAACTAACTACTGAATGGGTAAAATGAAGATATGAATAAAATTTTCCTTATATGATGGAATAATAATAGAACTGCCAAGTGAAAGAGAGATTAAAACTATAATCAATAGACTCAAAAATAATAAAAGACCGGGAGAAAACGAAATAGCTGCGGAAAAGCTAAATAATTATACAGCTTCTAACAGGAAGACCACGATTTTCTGTTGGGATTTACTCCCTGAGCCAAGAGTATGTAGTAACAGGAAATATCGTGACCCATCTGCCCTCGGAAACCTAATAGACATTCGGGGTTGAAAAAAACAAGAGTTAACCGAGAGAGGCTGATTAAAGACATTTCATTTAAGGCGAGTTGAAAAAGAGTTAAATTAGAAAGCCCTTATCATTCAGCAGGTGCGTTTCATAAGCATATGAGTAGGTATCGATACATTTGTGTTCCCGCTCACATTTTGGGGTGTAAACTATAGAGTATATGGCTGGTCTAGCATACCATAGCATGGAGGATAGGGAGCACGCCATTTTTACAATGTAAATACCCCAACACCATGGCCTGACCTTATCAGTCAAATAATCTTATCATTTCTTTTAAAGGACGACATTTTATATTGCTGCTCTTTCTACAGCTTTAAAAATATGGTTTTACATGAAAAAAATAGTGAAAATAAGAAACAGGGTAAGAAGTATTAATATGTTATTAGAAGATGCAAATGAACAATTTGGAAATGTGAATCTTTTTAGCTGAATATAAATAAATCTTCTATTCATGCGTCATTAATATTATTGAAAGAGTTATTTTAATAGTACATTGTTTAACAGGTAGGAAAAACTTAACATTCCTGGACGACTGTGAAGATTGCTAAGTCGAGGCGCAAGCCGAGACTTAGCAACACAGAGTCCAGGAATGTGGCTTTTCCTACGAAGTAAACATACTATTTTTCCGCAAATCGTTTAAAATTCGACAGATATTGATTGATTTAAAAAAAAACGCGATAATTTTATTCCCAAATAAATGGTGCTTTAAAATTCCTAATAAAATTACTTGGGTTACTATGGAAACGTATTGAGGTTGAATTGTCAAACTTGACGCTTATAAATTTAATTAATGTAGAACACTAACAACTGTACGGAAATATCATTTCCTTACAGTAAGGAAATGACATTTCCTTACAGTAAGGAAGTCCTGACTTTTTCTTCAAGAAATTTTGACAGGAATGTCAAACTTTCCTGGCGATTTGCGGAAAAATATTTATTTTGTGTTGAAATAATATGATTATTTTACAGTTTACTAGTTATCATTCAGCAGGAGGCCCATACGTAACCGGAATTCCTATTCACAAAGTTTTAAATCCCAAGAATAATATTATGCTATGTTGGGAGATGAACGGCCAAGAGCTGACACCAGATCATGGGTATCCATTAAGAATTATAGTTCCTGGAGTTATTGGTGCAAGATGGGTGAAACAAATAGGTAATAACCATAGCAGAATACAATACGAACATAAGTGCATATTAAATGTCAAATATAAAAAAAATATGTAAACATCAGCTACCAAAACTTACTTAAGTTATATATATTTTTCCCAAATCAGTTCTAAGATAGGTTATAAAAATAATACCGTTAAAAGAGCTTCTAGCTTTTTCAATATGAGTTTTTATTTCGTAGCTATTACCTTAGGTACCCTTAATATGGCAGTCCAGTAGCATATTTTCCCCATTCCTTCTAATGATGCATCGTTTATTATATTTTGGGTAATTATGTTGATATTCTTACTAATTACCATTATTTTTATCTTATTACAAACCAGTTTAAGGCCGAATTTTTAACTTGTTTCCATATTATCCATCATTATTTGGAACCCCTATGTACTATTTCCTAGCAATAGAGTGTCGTCTGCTAATTTAATATTGTTTAAAATTGGCCATTACTTGAATAGCATCTTTTGATTAATTCAGGGCGTCTATAAAGATGTTTTTAAAGTACATGTGCAGTGATGGTGACCGTATGCATCACTGTCGAACACTTTTTTGACTGTGAAGATCTAGAACAGTGCATTTTTGAATTTTCATTTTCGTTCATTTTTCAATTTAGTGTATATTCGCGAGTGAATGGTAGTAAGGAGTACTTTAAGTACATGGCTCATTAAACTAATTAATATGTGTTTTTCACATTTACCAACATTGACTTTTTTGGAAAGTGGGATAATATTGATAGTAGTCAATCTTTTGGTAAGTGATCAGTCTCATGTATTTTATTAAATAGCTTAGCTGTGAATTCATTACTATTAAACTGGGAATAAGCCACAATTAAAGATAAAAATACGTTTTTTTTATCTTTAATTGTGGCTTATTCCCAGTTTAATAGTAATTAATTTACAATGCCACAAGAAAATAGCTTCAGAACAATACCTTAGCTGTGATTTGGTGTGTCTCTAATGGCTTTAAATTTTCATCATGCACTTCGTCAGGTCCTGGTGATTTTTAATCTTTAAATTGCTTAATGGCCATTTTAACCTCTTCGTATGGTTTTTCTGGGCCATAGGAATTATCTATTTCAGTCGGTTTTCTTGCTGTATCTTCGAATAATTTTTGAATATATTCTTTTCATCTTCTTAACCTAGATAACCTTGACACAAGAAATTATATTAAACCTGTAATTTTTTTTATTAAAATATTTTATTTGGAACACCTATGTACGTTACTGAGATTCTTCTTCTTCCTTCGCGTGCCATATCAGAATTATCCGACGTTGGCGATCACCATTGCGAAGGCTTTTCGATCTTCTGCAACATGAAATAATTGTCCTGCATTTGGTGTCTGAGTCGTTACATCATCATCATCTTTGGCTCGGCAATCCTCTGTGGATCTTGGCCTGCTCTAAGATTCGTCGCCATTCTGTTCGGTTTTTGGCAACATGTTACCATCTTCTGATTTTTAATATTCGTAAGTCGGTTTCAACTCCATCTAACCACCCAATTCGCGGTCGGCCTTTGCTTCTTTTTCCTACAGGTGTTCCTGTGGTTAGCTTTTTAGCAATCACATTTTCTGGCTTTCGTATTATGTGTCCAGCTCATCTAAGTCGCTGTGTTTTAATGAACGTTATGACATCTGGGTCATCAAAGAGCTGATACAATTCAAAATTATATCTTCTGCGCCACTGCCCTTGGTCGTTTACAGATCCAAATATTTTGCGGAATATTTTACGCTCAAATATTCCCAAAAGTCTTTCATCTTTCTGCATTAGAGTCCATGTTTCTGCTCCATATGTGAGGACCGGCCTCAGCAATGTTTTGTATATAGTAATTTTAGTTCTTCTTTGAATGTTTCTTGAGTGGAAATGCTTTTGGAGTCCATAGTATGCCCTATTTGTAAGATTTATTCGTCTTTTGATTTCTTCGCTTGTTTTATTGGTAGCAGTCAATAGCGACCCAAGGTATGTGAAGTTGTCAACACGTCCAAAGGTATGACTTCCAAAGACTGTTTCTCGTTCCTCATTTGCTATCGGATTCTTTGTAACCAACATGTACTTGGTTTTGTCTTCGTTGATGACTAGACCGACCTGTTTCGCCGTTGTTTCCAATTCTAGGAGATATTGCTCAACATCTCGCTTGCTACGCCCTACTATGTCAATGTCATTAGCATATGCTAAGACTTATCAATCTATTGTAAATAGTACCACCATCCCTAATTCGTGTATCTTGGACTGCCTTTTCTAAGGCAATATTAAATAGGAGGCAAGCCAGAGCATCCCCTTGTCTGAGTCCATCCTTTATCTCAAAGGATCTAGAACTCTCTTCCTGTATTCTAACAAAGGCTTCTAAATTAGACATTGTCATTCTCGTTAGTCTAATAAGTTTCTCTGGTATACCAAACTCATGCATTGATTGGTATAGCACTGTTCTCTTGACACTGTCGTATGCGGCTTTGAAGTCGACGAATAGGTGATGGGTTTCAATATTGAATTCTAATGTTTTCTCGAGAATCTGTCTTATTGAATGAATCTGGTCAATTGTTGATTTTTCTGGAGTGAATCCAGCTTGATATTTACCAACTATGCCCACTGTGTAAACTTGCAGCCTTTCGTAGAGAATATTTGCTAGTATTTTGTAAGCAGTTGTTAACAGGGTTATACCTCTATAGTTGTCACACTGGAGCTGGTCACCTTTTTTATGTAACGGGCATATCACGCCTTGAGACCATTCACAGTGTATGGTCTCATTATGCCAAACAAGAAGTAAAAGCTTATGCAGTGTCTGTAGTAGGGCATCGCCACCATTCTTGTAGAGCTCACTGCAAATTTGATCAACCCCTGGTGATTTATTATTTTTAAGCTTTTTAATAGCTTGGCAACGTTTTCGATGGTAGGTGGTCTTTCGTTTGGGTTGAAAGGATTACAATTATTTCGATTTGCTAGGGTGTTATCTGCTTCTTTGATATGATGGCCATTAAATTTTGCATCGAAAAATTCAACCCATCTGTTTAGGATTGAAGCCGTATCATTTAGGATGTTTCCGTCTACATCCTTACAGCTCCTTATTCTTGGCTTAAACTCTTGGCGCATTTTGTTTAGATTTCTGTAGAACTTTCGAGTTTCATTTTGATTTCTTAGCCATTCTGTGCTTTCCAACTGCTTTTGCTCAAATTGTTTTTTTTTTTCTATGTAAGCGTTTTTCTTCTCTTCTTAGGGTCCGGTATTCTTCCTTTGCTCTTCTTGTGCATCCAGCTTGATTTGCCTTTAGGTATGCCCTGTTTTTGTTATCTGTTGCTTCTTGGCACTCATTGTCAAACCATTCATTTTCTTTAACTGGTTTGGTTTTCCCCAATATTTTTGTTGCTTTCTCAGTTATTATGTTTTTACATTTTGTCCACAGTTCCTCTACATTTTCCCCCACCTCCAGGCTCTCCATTTCCTCGTCCATTTGTCTCCTATACTCTCTCGCAACGGTTTCAATGCGCAGATTATCAACATTAATTCTGTCTTGTTTCGTGTGTTTATCTTTCTTTAGGTTTGATATTCTTCCTCTGATTTTTGCCATTACAAGAAAGTGGTCACTGTCAATGTTTGGGCCTCGGTAGCTTCTGACGTCTATGAGATCGGAAGAGTGCCTTGTATTTATCAGGATGTGATCTATCTGGTTAATGGTTTCGTTATCAGGGGATTTCCATGTTCTTTTGTGTATCATTTTATGGGGAAATCTTGTTCCTCCTACTATCATATTTTTAATACTTGCAAAGTTTATTAGTCTCAACCCGTTATCATTTGACTCTTCATGTAAGCTCTCACGTTCTATAGTTGTGTTTATCTTTCTTTAGAATTGATATTCTTCCTCTGATTTTTGCCATTACAAGAAAGTGGTCACTGTCAATGTTTGGGCCTCGGCAGCTTCTGACGTCTATGAGATCGGAAGAGTGCCTTGTATCTATCAGGATGTGATCTATCTGGTTAATGGTTTCGTTATCAGGGGATTTACATGTTCTTTTGTGTATCATTTTATGGGGAAATCTTGTTCCTCCTACTATCATGTTTTTAGTACTTGCAAAGTTTATTAGTCTCAACCCGTTATCATTTGACTCTTCATGTAAGCTCTCACGTCTTATAGTTGGCTGGAAAAATTGCTCTTTGCCAATTTTTGCATTAAGGTCCCCAGTAATGATTTTCACGTCATGACGTGGACATCGATCATATTTTTTGTCTAAGGTGTCATACAATTCTTTTTTTTTTCATTATCCTCCTTTTCTTCCGTAGGTGCGTGTACACTAAGTAAGCTAAATTAAAGAATTAAAGAATTTTCCTTTAAGACGTAGATAACATATTCTGTTGTTTATGGATTTAAAGTTAAGGACTAATTGCTTTGCTTTTTTACTGACTAGAAAACCACTGCCAAACTCGTGTCGGCTGCTATGTCCGCTATAGTATATATTGTAGTCTCTTTTCTCGATGATTCCTGAACCAGTCCATCTCATCTCTTGAATCGCTACTACATCGGCTTTCATTTTATCAAGTTCTTGTGTTAGCAGTCTAAGAGCGCCTGGGGGATAAAGGGTTCGTACATTCCATGTGTATATCCGTAAATCGTTATTCCATTGTCGTTTGCTAGATCGTCGTGAATTAAACAGTCCGGCTTTTCCACTTTGTGCTTTCATAACAACGAGTTTTTTTAAGGGAAGAGGTCGTTAACCTTTTGCCCAACCCGCTAATCTTCGAAGGACCATTTCTCCCACTCTCGTTTGCCCTGACTCTGCTTCCCACTGGGGTTGGTTACCATAATCTTCCACAGAGTTGCTCAGGTTACCAGGGTTTACCGCGTAGACGTAAGAGTTGGAATTGAGTAGGAGAAGCTAGTGACGGTAACAGGATGCAGCGTCATATTTTACGCATCACTACCCCATTTGAACCCCATCTGAGTCGTTACTGAGGTAATATTGCAAAAAATTGTAATGTACAAAAAAAAGAGCGTCCTACATCTAGGA